GCTCTCCCCCCCCCCCGCCCAGGGGCAGGGACGCCTCCAACCAGACCAGGTTGCTCAAAGCCCCATCCAACCTGGCCTTGAACACTTCCAGGGATGGGGCACCCACAGCTTCTCTGGGCAACCTGTGCCAGTGCCTCACCATCCTCACTGGGAAGAATTTCTTCCTAATATCTAATCTAAATCTTCCCTCTTCCAGTTTAAAGCCATTGCCCCTTGTCCTATCACTCCATGTCCTTGTACAAAGTCCCTCCCCAGCTTTCTTGCAGGCCCCCTTTAGGTACTGGAAGGCTGCTCGAAGGTTTCCCCGGAGCCTTCTCTTCTCCAGGCTGAACAACCCCAACTCTCTCAGCCTGTCTTCACAGGAGAGGTGCTCCAACTCTCTGATCACCTTCGTGGCCTCCTCAGGGCTCACTCCAACAGGTCCATGTCCTTCTTGTGCTGAGGACCCCAGAGCTGAAGGCAGTAATGCAGAGGGGGTTCTCACCAGAGCAGAGTAGAGGGGCAGAATCCCCTCCCTCGACCTGCTGGTCACCCTGCTTGGGACGCAGCCCAGGACACGGTTGGCTTCCTGGGCTGTGAGTGCACAGTGCCGGGTCATGCTGAGCTTCTTGTCAACCAGCACCCTCAAGTCCTTCTCCTCAGGGCTGCTCTCAGTCCACTCTCCTCCCAGCCTGTATTTGTGCTTGGGATTACCCTGACCCAGGTACAGGACTTTGCACCTGGCCTAAGATGCAAATATAGAACCTGTGAGAATAAGAAGGCTGGAACAGCGAAAGCCAGAAAGCTGTTCCAGCAGCAGACGCATCCCCTGCACTAAGCGACCCTCACTGAGGGGAGAATGTGGCATCTGTAATTGATTCTGCACACCAAGAACCAGCTCCACTAAGATCCCAGAATAAAGGGGAGGCATTTTGACAGCAATATGAGTAAATACATTCTAGGATCACAGCACGCTTAGAGGTTCACATATATTTTTATATAATCAACTTCTGATATTTTTATTCCTTGTTTTATATAAGGCACAGACTGGGAAGGTTTTTACCTTGATGTATCAAGTGATGTGAATATTTTCCTGCAGCCTCATTCAATTTAGTGTCTCAAGAAGACCTATTCCTACTGCTAGACTGTACGGGTGTCTAGAACTGTTGATCAGGAGCAGACATGCATGAAAACACCACAAATCAACGTGTCCAGCTGTGCAGCCGTGTCCTCCCCCTCTCCAAAACTCTGGCCAAGCCCTGTTGCTTTTAACAGCTTTTCAATCTAATATAAGTTTGCTGGTTTGGGTAACCAACCTTTTACTTCAGACATCAACGTAGAGTCAAAAATAAGATAAGCAATGGAAACTTCCCCTTTAGCCCTTCTTTTCCATTCCTCTTGGGTACCAACCAACTAAAAGCCACTCACCAGACAATCCTGATGAGCTGCAATATTTCGCTCTTTGGCAATATACATTACAGAACCAGCCTCCCCTTCTGAACAAAACGCACACGTTCTTCTCACCATCTTCGCCATTATCCAGAGAACACCTAGAGCAGGACAACTGGGACAAAACACAAAGCAATTGACGCAACTATCATACACCAAGGAGGTCAAACAGAGGAAAGCAGTGCTTGATAGCGCACTTGCCCTCTAACTGCTCCTTCACCTACATCCCCTGAACCTTGGTACTTTGCTCCTCCAGCAACAACTACTAGTAGAATAGGCAAAGCCCGCTCTTCGGAGAGCAGTGGGATGGAAACCAGCTCCCAGGAGCTCCAGCAGTTAGAGCAGGAGGAAAACCGGTTTATTTCCTCTTGGAAAGTCACTAACAAGACTTAAGGGGTAATACAAGAGTTTTCAAGCTTGCTTGGCAATATCTGCTCCAACAACAGGCCCAAGAGCAGGCCAGCAAGTCATGCCTGAGATGTGAAAACCTTTTATTTGGAGGAGGTCAGTCACCGATAGCAGTGCTTTCCTTAAGCTAAGTTCTGCCACATGTGGGTCTGCAGGTCAACCGAGGAGAGAAAAATAGCTGTCCCCAAACTTCTCCAGTGCCTTCCAGGAGTTGACAGAAAACAAGGAAGAAACACTAATTCCTCACTGTAAAAAGGATGTAGCAAAGAAGCATGGAGAGGCTTGCAAGTAAAAGGGGGCAGAAGACAGAGTCAGAAATGAGTGACTTTAACATTCTCTCTCAATGAAGTGGAGCACTAACATGAGTGACATAATTTTCTCTATGCCCTGGGATTTGCCCCACGGACATCTGTTCTCTTTTTCTGGCCATATTCACTCAAGTCTTAATTGTTGTTCTTCACACAGTCTCTCTTTTCCCCCAGAAACCGCAAAATTTTAAGGCCAGCTACTTATTTCACAAAACAGTCAAAATGCCTCTGGATAAGCCTTTACCCGCATCCCCCACCAGAAGTTTAGAGCATCACGCCACACATTAGTAGCGGAAGTTTTACTTTATCTGTGGTTTCTGTGCAAGTCCACCGCAGAAATCTTCAACAATTTCCCACTCCTACTAGGTGTGATACTCCAAACTGCCCTTTGCTGGAGACGTCACCTCTGACAGCACAAATTCCTGTAGGATAAGAGTAAGAAATGTCCATGTTTACTTTCAAGAAATAAGAAGATTTGAAGTTAAATTACTCTAGGGAGAGAGAGGCAGTAAGGTCCAAGTACAAAACAAGCAGGAAATCTCACAGTCCAGCAAATCTCACAACTTTTCTGTGGCTTTCAACAGCCAACCTCTGTTTTCATTAGTCCCCACCTTCCTTCCATAAAATGGAGAGGGTAGTCTCAAGTGAGAAGAACACCAGAGTAGAGGGGGATTTTTTTTCTTCCCCCTCTGGCTCTGCCACTGAGAATTTACTTAATCACAGCAAGTCACTGCCTAGACACTCATCTGGGTTTTCCCCCCCCCCCCTTCTATCTCTTGTAAGCCAGGCACTGTAGGGGCCAATTTCCAATATCCATCTATACAGTGACCATCACATCAGTCTTAGAACTTAAGCATTAAAGAAATACAATAGAAACAAATAGAAATGTATAGAAATAGAATAGAAAAGACAGACAGAAAGAAATCAAAAAGCAGAACGAGCTAGAGTTGGAATGGTCTAGAGCTCAGGAAAAGTTCTCTGTAGCAAGCTAATACCTGGAATCGATGCAGATACATAGGCCCTGCTCAGGCCCAGTCAGAGGATCCAGCTCCAGGGGCTCTGGGAATTTCGTGAGGAGGAGGCTAAAGGTGGAGTCTACAGTCCCTGGTGTTCTTACAGGCTCAGGAGAAATCCTGGTGCTGCAGGAGAACACACGACACTCAGTCAAGGTCAGCCTTGGGGTTACTCCAGCGCCTTTGCAGGAACCCTGAAGCAGTGGAAGGACAGCTCTTGGCCATTCCTCACTGCAGCAGCAGTCAGCCTGCACCCGCTGCCCCATTTCGCTCAGTACCCTGTCCCCCACAGGAGCACTGCTTCAGCCCTGTGCTCTTCCCCAGCCTTCTGCTACAGATTACTGCCAGGGAGAGGATACTGAGCTAAACGGGGCAATGGATCCGGCTGGCTGCTCTCAAGCGAGAAGGGAGAGGCTAAGGGCACGGTTCCAGTTCCATAGTTCAACCTAAACAACGCCTTGCTTTCACAGGTCTTACGCCTGCCGCTCACAGATTCCATTTGACACCCCAGGATCTGTCTGAGAAGGCAAGAAATTGTTGTTCCTTACGCAGCTCCTCCAGTAACACTCATGACAGCATAGATCTGTTATTCTTTCTCCCACTGTGTTATTCTTTCTCCTACTGTCTCTTTTTCAGGTTGAAGAATCTGAAACTATTTAGTTGTTCCTTGTACAGAAGCTGCTCCACATCTTTGATCATCCCCGTCACTTCTTAATCTCTTTTCTACTCCTGCTCTGTTCCAAGAGGAGCAAATGACCTTCAAAAGGTATTTACAATACAAAGATACAATGGCGCGTGGCGTTTTTATCTTCTTTTCTTAATATTTCTCAGTATTTCAATCACATTTTAGACTTCTGCTGAGCACGGAGCTGACACTTTCATAGAACTATGTATTGTAGTCCCCCAGATCTCTTTCCTAAGTGGTACCAGATAGTATAGAGGGCATCAGCGTTATGATTGTTACTCTGACACATGCATCATTTTCCACTTATCAATGCTGGATTTTCACCTGCTATTTCATAGTCAAATCACTCACTGTCACAAAGTCCTGCAACTCTTCACAGTCAGCTTTCACTTTCACTGCCACAGAAGAGGACTGTGGGAATCTAAGGTGACTAAATTCATCTATAAAAGCTGGAGACACTTTCACTGCCCTCCAGAGCAAATGAAGCTGCAAAACAGGAGATAGAGGAGAAATAGCTGAGGGAACGAAACAGTCACGTGCCTCTGGCTGCTTCTCTGGTCATTTCCTACAAGCAGTTTTGGTTGTGGGGTTTTTTGCAGCAGTGACAAAATGGAAGAAAACAAGAAACGAAACAGAAAGTAAAAAGGGACAAGAACATTGTTGGTAAGTGCACTGGGATTGTGCCACTTCCAAATACACCTTGCTGTAACATTACTAGTTTGTCTAAGTATTTCCTCCCTTGAACCAATTCTGAAAGCATCCTTGCATGTAAATACATTTTATACAGGAGGAAACTAAAGCACAGAATATCACTTGGCACATCTGCAGGGGAGTAAGGAAAAGAACTCAAGTCTCCTGACTTCCAGTATGATTCCAAAACCCACTGCCCTAGCCCCTGCTCTGATCACCTTTCACTTGCTACAGGGGAAATATTTTTAAGAATATAAAAAAAATATTTTCTTTGGAAAGGTATATGTTAAACGTATCTGACCTAAGTGATGGGGGTGACTGGAGGGTTTCTCATTAGACCTAAACTCTCACCTATTCACAAGATTACAGAATCATAGAATGGTTGGGGTTGATGGTCTGAAGACCATCTAGTCCAAATCCCAGTGCCACGGGCGGCGACATCTTTCACCAGACCAGGTTGCTCAAAGCCCCATCCAACCTGGCCTCAAACACTTCCAGGGATGGGGCATCCACAGCTTCTCTGGGTAACCTGTGCCACTGCCTCACCACCCTCAGCGTAAAAAATGTCTTCCTTACGTCCAATCTAAACCTACCCTCTTTCAGTTTAAAACTGTTGCCCCTTGTCCTGTCACAACAGGGCCTGGGAAAAAGTCTCAGTCTTTTTTATAACCCTCCTTCATATATCGAAACGCCACAAAACACCTCCCCAGAGCCTTCTCTTCTCCAGGCTGAACAACCCCAACTCTCTCAGCCTTTCTCCACAGGAGAGGTGCTCCAGCCCTTGTACCATTTCCATGGCCTCCTCAGGACCTGCGTCAACAGCTCCATGTCTGTCTCGTACTGGGGACCCCAGAGCCGCACACAGTACTCCAGGCGGGAGATGCTTGGACTTCTATTGTTAGAGGTCCCCAGCTGCTCCCTGACCTGCTTCACAGAGTAACACCTTACCCTCCACTGATGCACCACTTCCAGCATTTTAAACACACAAGTGTCATTTTTAAGAGACTAATGGTTCCCACCTTGCTACAATCACTGGGTGCCACACGGCAGAACTTAAGGAAGAAGGGTGTGGATCGACCCTCCACTGATTTGGACACCTGGGTGCTGAGGTGGGGCCGGGCCGGGGCCTGCTGAGGTGATATCTTCACC